TTACATTAAATTACTTTCCCTTAAAACAGAATAAATTCTATTTGAAACATTGCTTGAATAAACAAAAATTCAAAGAGATAATTGCATTTATAGAATGAAATGAATCACTTTTTTTTATGCATGTGTGTATATATATGTATATATATATATGCTGTCTAATTATAATTTTTACTGCAAAAATTATATATAAATTTATCAAATTACAAAAGTGAAATGTATTAAATATAATTATGTATTAAAATATACATTATTAAAATATATGATTTAAAAAATATACTTATATAAAATATGTGTAGAATAATTATTATATGAGCTTTGAAAGATTTTGACAATGAAGAAAATAAAAAACTGAAAAATATACATAATATGAATAATTTGAGAACTTATCAAAATATATTTTAATATTATAATTATTAGAATTACATGCATAGAACTTGCATTATACGATACTTCAAGTATAGAATTTTCATGCAATATTTTTTTTTTTTTGTTCTTGTCACAGACATAACATCACAGAAATATCACATGATAAGCATTTATGAATTATATTCTATATGCAATATATTTAAAATAATGTTTTCTATTAATTATCTTAGCAAGCACAAATCAACTTCCATGCAGTAAGTTATCGATATTATATAATGTGAAATTTATACCAATAAATTATAAGTTATTTTGAATATTTATTTATTATAGATATTATGAATGGTTAATATTTTTGTTTTGTTTTAAAAATGCATTATCTAATGCTAAAGAGAACTTTATTCGATATAATGTATTATACAAATTGTATTATGATAAATCTCAGAAGCAGCAATATGATTATGGAAACAATATATAATTGAAATAGAAAAAGAATGAGAGACAACAACAACAAAAAAAAAAACAAAAAAAAGAAAAGGGTAGGAATGGCTATAAAAAGGAAATTATAGAAAAGATCAAAAAAACACCTTCTTGCCAGGTGACATTAACACATTTAGTTACATTTTTATGTGATGATTGAATTGTTATGTTAAATAAAAATCTATTTAGTACTGTGAATATAAAATTTGTATGCAACACATATTCTACAGCTACATTATAATACTTGAACAAATATGTGCACATACTAAGGATAACGAAATTACACAACATAAGTACAATTACAAATTGAGACATTAATATAAAGAATATTTGAATCCCAATAATATGTTTTATATTAATTGAAGAAATATCTTAAATTAATTCTTAACACAAATGTACATTAATGAATGAATTTTGTTTTCAATTAATGATTTTCTTATCTGTAAATGCATAATATATATATATAAATGCAAAATGTTATTGATGCATGTAGATTCAACTACATCTTCTATTCGTTAATATGTCTATATTAGACAAATACATCTTTTTTAAAAAATCATTATATATATTTTCTTTTTCTCGTAATAAAATTGAATTATATTCAGGAAAAATCAATAATTATATAGGAACTTTGGGAAATAGGGCATAATAAGTGACATGTGTCTTTTGCGATTCTGCAACTTGGTTAGTTGATAATAGTAACACATTAAATGTCCTAAAATCACTCAATAGTATTATTAGTAACACAAAACAAAAAATTGTAATACGAAAAAAATTCGATTTTTCTAATTATTATTAACATTAGCACAATTTTTAATATGTTTTATATGTATATATATATATAAATGTATATATATATATATACATATGTATTGAATTTAAATTAAATTTGTTAAGCATTTATAAATATGTATATATTTGCATCGCGTAATTGTAAGTTATTTGAAAATTTTACATGCATCGTATTTGTTCTCATACCCATATTCACAGATTTGCTTTTGAGAAATGATAAATTACAATTTTCTATTTAAATGCTTCTTTATAAAATAAATAAAGGCACACTATCCACAACATAAAAGTTAACTTGCTGAATAGTGCAAAAATATAAATATTTGCAAAGTTCAAAGCATTTTTTTTTTTTTACACGCTTTAAACATATTGATTCAAAATAACATTTAAAAAAAAAAAAAAAAAAAATTAAAAAAAAAAAAAAACCATATATATTTACCATTGAGAAATTACCAATGCAATAACAAGCAAAATATTTTTATAATAAAATATAAAGATTACATTTCATTTTTATGTCCACTGTACTATATGAATAATTTCTTTTTTTTTTTTTTGTAATAATAATATCAGCTTTAGAAATGAAAAATATTCAAGTTTTTAAAATATGTATATTTGTATATAAAGATAAGAAAAGAGAATAGAAATAGATCAAATGAATGAGTTAGTTCAAATGTAGATTTAGATTTTGTATGATCATGTGCATTTCTTTGTGTTATGTTTACAACATCTGCAAATATTTATTTATTATTTAATTTCATTTTCAATGTGAATTTTGTCTGTAACTACTGTAAACAAATATTGACTTTTTCTTTTAATGTCTTTTAACACAAAATAACAAAAAAATTTATTCTTTTATTAAAAATTAAAATTTCATTTGATAATTTATATGTGGAATATAATTAATATCGTCATTATTATTGTCATGGTGATTATCACTATTTTACAAATTAGAAATATTATATTATTGTATATATATATATATATATATCTTTCATATTATAATTATTATTAATGGTATATTATCAATAATAGTTGAAGTTAATTTGAAAATCAAAAAATTAAGAATTTATCCACATTACGTAATTAGTTCCTCAATTAAATGTTAATATTGTTTTAACGCTTAACGTACCATGACCAATCAAATTATCAATTATGAAATTTTTCGTAGCATTTCTTACAAATTATAATACTATTTGATGAGTCAAGAATTCTTATTATATAAATAATATATTATATAAATAATATATTTTTTTGTATATATATATATAAATATATTACATTATATGAAAATAAATATTTCTAAAATTTATATAATAAATGAAAAATATTTTTTTGTATATATATATATGCTGTCTAATTATAATTTTTACTGCAAAAATTATATATAAATTTATCAAATTACAAAAGTGAAATGTATTAAATATAATTNATATATATATATATATATATATATATATATGTTGTAAAGTATATGACTTTTTGAGACAAATCATTTGATCCACTATAAGTATATATATATAAAGAGCATCGGTACGTTTAGTGTTAATATATAATTTTTCTTCATTCCTATAGTATATCTCAAAAATGTGGTACAATGACAAAAACAATGACAATACAATACGGTATAATTAACAATCGAGGCACCCATTTTCAATATATTACCCACACAAAATGATTAAACATAACATGTCAGCTATATAATTTGAAATAATCTTATTTATGATCCAATGTTTTAATGGAATAATATTTTACATTTACGTAATAAAATTATAAAAAAAAAGAAAAATTCTTACATGATATACATATTTTTCATGGAATAACATTACACATTGGATAAGAAATAAGAAAATTCATATAATCATCACATCGGTAATAAACGCGTAAATATAATTTTATTATTTTCAATGATTAGATTCCCAATTTCCAGTTGCATTTGTAAAAATATATAGCATTATCACACATATGGTTATATGTTAATAGCATAAACAAAATGGTTTAGGCAAATCTTACCTCGTCAAAGAAGACTTGAGTTTTTCTTAATATATGCTTCAGCTCAGTCAATTCTAAGAAGTTACGTTTCAAAGCTTCAGCATTTTGATTGACTTCTCGCAGCTCATTTTCCAATTTTTCAAACGTAGCTTCCAAATCAATCATTTCACGAGGTTGCGGTGCTTCAGGATTTTCACCGGTGTCCAGCATTGGTATTCCATCCTTTTTGATTTCCTTTTCCAAATATCGTAACTTTCGTTCCATTTCATCGCAACGACGTACTTCATTAACGAATTTTCGTTGAAATGCATTAACATCGGGATTAAGCTATAACAAAATATCAATTAGAAAAAGAAATAAAAATGACATACAAATTTATACATACATACATACATACATTACATTTATACATTTATATATTACAATTATTAACATACATTACAAATTTGATCATAATTTATATATTTATTAAAATAACAAATAAAAGAGAAAAAGTAACAAATGTGAACATAATTTATGTATTTTTTTCAGTAAAAAAAAAAAAAGTGCATTGAAATGTAAAAAGTTCATAAGAGATTTATATACATATATATATATATATATTAAATTATAAATAGATATAACACATGTATCTATCGATATATAAAGATAAATTCGTAAAGAGATAAGAAAAATACTTACATCTCTAAATTGAACAAGACCAAGTTCGCCAAGTTCGGAGACACAGGCGTAGGCAGCTTCGCTTTGCAAAAAGAGTTGACACAAGGTCATCTCTTCGCTTCGAAAAAGCGAACCCATCTTAATAGATGGAAAATAAACTTATTGGGATAATAAATTCTTTTACGTAAATTCCGTTTTCGCGTAAGGAAATAAAGAATTGAAGAAGATGCGTACTCGACAAGATTCGATGATAATATCGTGAGTCAAAGTAGAAAACCCACACGATACACGATAAAACTCGAGATAAGCACCGATCAATATCGTGACATCACGAGATAGACTATTTTATACAACCGTACGTCAAACGTCACGAGTTCTAAACGTGCCACACTTGCGACAAATACACACCCAATGAACATGTGGCGCTCACTGTGTAGCGGCGATTTTTGAAATTACTCTCTTCGAGTCGATAATATCGATATCAATTCAATAATAAAATAATCGCAACGTTGGTTACGATATTTGCGACTTTATCTATTTATTTTTCTTATTCTTCTTCTTTTTTGCTTATAAATAAGAGAAATAAATATTAATTACATATCGTATTAATATATATTTTAAATAGAAATCTTAAATGTAATTTTATCATTTATCGATAATACATTGTCCATTGTCTTCTCGTACATTAGACAATTAATGACGATACAGAGGTCGCTTCGTACGATTTTCAATAAGTGTCATATGATCATACAACAAGGATCGATCTGAATATCGGGGGAGTGTCTAGTAGCTCATTTTATTTGTGAATTAAAAAGTTAAAAGGAAAAATGTTGAATTTATTTATCTGTTTTTTGATCACTTTAACTGGGGGTAAGTGTAACGATTCAATATTAACATACTTTGACATTAATGGTTAAAAATCAATATTTTCCATAATTGAAATCTATTTTCAAAATGTGTAAAATAGTTTCTTGTTTATAATTGTTATCGAATTGCAGTTTGTGCCCATGGTGAATTTGTTGTACTTAGTAGTCCAGATAGTGTATCTTTTTATGGAAATGAAGAGATCGAGCAAAGTTTACTGAAAGAAGTTTTCGCTGCTAGCTTGGGTTTTACAGCTAAACAAGTACATTTTTACAGTTTAATTGTTACTAATGTTATATTATATTTATATACTTTATTGATTATTATTGATATTGTAGAGAGATACTTGGGAAGGTATTTCCATCACAGATCCATTTTCATTACCAGAAGCAGTCGTTAGTATTGTGGTAGAAGGAGTTGATACGTTAGATATACCAAATGGAAAAAAGTTTCACTTAAATGATGATGAAATTGAAGAAACAACGTGGCAAGCAATAAGCAGACGACTTGCAGAAAGAGATAATGATAATACATTAGTCAGAATTTATTTAGGAGATGGCCTCGATGCTGTATGTTATTAACTTTTAATTAATATAATGTTCAAGCATAAATACATGTTGACAATTGCTATATACTTAAAAAATAAATATTATACATTTTTCTAAATATTAATAATGATATAGCTTGGACAATCTGCACTTGGTGAGCTCAAGCCAATTCCGATAGATGAGTCATCTTTTGTAGCACTACGTTTAACAAATGAAGAAGACCGAAAGTTTCTCGAAGAGATACAATTACTTCGTGCAATTGCAAAGAAAGTACCTACAGCAATTAAAGCAGATGACAAATCAGACGTTTTTTGGCTTGTTATATCAGGATTACGTCCTGTATTAGATTTACATGGAAAGAACTCGACAGCTGCTAAAGAAGCTTTTCTTCTATTGAATGATGCTTTAAACGATATTAGTGAGGCATTTATGAAGGTTTATGATAACAAGGTATATAGAATAATGTTGATTATGATATAAAACTTTTATTTTTGTCTTGATACAATTTAACTTTCAAGTTTGTTTTCAATATAGGTTTTAATCGCAGCGTTCACAAATGATCCAAGCCAAGTACGTCATACTCGTTCCATTTCTTCTAATAAGCAACGCAGAGATACACAGGTTAGCATTTTCTTATAAAATATAATTTACAAGCTATTATAATTCCTCATGTATGACTACATATGAGTAGTACATACAAAATGTTTAAGGATAACATTTATAACAAATGCTTCAAATAACCAGTATTAATTATATACACGCCAAAGGAATAATATTAGGACAAGCTACATATAAATCCATCTGAATTTAACTGCATTCTAGCAATTTGGATAAGAGTTAAAACCAATGAACTATAAGGGTTAAATTATTTCCATTATACTTGATTAATTAATATGTCTTTTATAGGATAATAAAAATAAAAACGTAGTATCCATGGTGGAATCCAGTAATACAGAGTTTAATAGTAATAACATTATTAAAAAGGTATCATTAAATTGTTGCATGAAATATTTTATCAAAAATGGGAAAATCTAATTAGATTTAGTCTTATGCATGATTTCATTTAACATGTGATTGAATTATGCAATATAATATAATTTTCACAACATTATAATTAACGAAAGATATTAAACGTTATCAAATGATTTGATTGAGCATTACATACAAAACAACATACATGCGGATGTATGTGTGCGTGCATGTGTGACTTAACCATACCACTTAAATACTTACTCTATTTCACCTTCAACTACAAATAAGAAATGGAAAATAATTTATACATTGCCTACAGAAGGTACACAAGTTTTACTCTCATCTTACTTATTTTATAATAATTTTATATGAAGATCGAGAAAATTGTGATAAATTACTTTATTTATTTAAATTGAAAATAATATAACATAATAAAAAGAAAATTTGGATAAATTGAACATAAGAAAATATCATTAGAGAGAACTGATTTTTTTTTTTTTAAATAGAATTTATATAATTAATAAATTTATATTCGTGTGTCAAATACTTTCTTTGTAATAGAATTCTTGTTTTTGCTATATATTATTTCTTTGATTCTTCTTCTTCTTCTTCTTCTTCTTCTTAAGAATTTTTTCTATGTCATATTATTTGCAATTGTAATAAACTATGGAATAAAGTAACTTATCCTAATTTGTTGCATCTTTGTGTAATTATTATAAAAAAGTAGTGAGCATACTAATAGACCTTATAGCTAACTATGTTTTGTTTAACGGTTAGCTGCAATTATTTTTATATACATTTTGTAGAAGCTCAATTCTTTTATTTTATTATTAATTCGAATTAAACAATTCTTAAAGATACATAAAAAATAATGAACATGTAACAATTGAAAAAGAGCTTCTATTTTATATTTTAATTATAATTTATTTCATCTTTTACAATTTGTAAAACGATTGAAGATAATTACAATTTGTTTAAATTATTCTGTAAAATTAAAAATCATTATTGTTTTAAAAGTGGAAGTTATAGAATTTTTATAATAAGAATGTTATTTTTTCAAATATATATAAATATATGTATGCATTACATACATTATCGATATATGACTAAACAACGAATACAATTAATTCTGACGAGCAGTTAATGCAGTATTATACAGGATGAGTTATCCAATTTTACAATCTTAATTATTTCTTTTCTACATACAGTTATTGTAAAATATTTTGAATAATAGTAACATGAGTATAATTACTAAATATACAATGGTTATAATTAAGGATATACAGTTAATCAGTCTATTTTGTATATTCACAGTAGTTGTCATTAAAAATTTACAATAAAGCAAAATAATTATTTTTACATTGATAAATGAAGATCAATAACAATAAATACTTTTAATCTGATTAATTGGATTAACACATTCCTGCAATCATTTTGACAATTATATAATTAATATCACATCCGTAATTAACAACTACTGTGATTCTTCTAATTGGTAATAAATTACTACTCTATATTTAGTTTTGCTTAATAACAACATGTATTATAGCAAGCTGACCAAGAAGAAGAAAACAGAAATATAAGTGATGAAGAAAACATAGACACTAATATTCATAGTACTAGCAAAATCAACAGTAATGTCAGCAGTACTACTGAATATAGCGACACCAATGCTGATAGTGGAAGTACTGAAAAGTCTGAACAAGACTTAGCTAATATGGAAAATAAGATAAATACTAACACAAAAAGTGTAGGACAGGTATCACATACACATGCATTCTATGATTTTGTGCCTGCAAACTTTAAAAAAATTAGCATTTGAGTTTAGACAAGGTGACAAGACATAAAAAGTTTACACTTGCTCAAATTAAAATACAATTCATATTTAGTCTTTTTAGTATAAAAATGCTGTTATATATATATATATATTTATCTTTTTTTTTATATATACTAATTTTTTATACACATTGCAAAGTAGTTAAGTAAACCCTAAAATGGATAACTAACAAATGCTTCATATATATATATATATTATTTGCATTAAATTCTTACAATAGATTTATTTGATTAATAATTAGCTTTGTGCTTATATATTATAAATTGCATTATGCATCGCTTGGTAATGTTTATAATATTGTATAGAATGAACTGTCTAATTTTCTGATCTTGATTATTTTTGGTTGGTTTTATCGTTAATAAAAAAAATCTTATGAATCAAAGTTAAACAAATTTATAACAATTACTATAAAATGAATATAATCAAGATCGTAAAGTTAGTCAGCTTATCCTTTATATATTCACAGTAGTTGTTATTGCAAATTTATATTAATGAAAAATATATTCAATATTTATACACAGCAAAGAAACATTAATGACAATAAATACTTGTCATTTAATTAATAACTGCTGTATAGCACATTTTTGCTTATGAATTGAATGGTTATTTTTATTGCTAGTACGAATTGCACTAAAATTAACTATCTATATACAGCTACTGTGATTCTTCTAATAACAGATTAAATTGATATAAATTTTAAATTATCAAAAAACATGTATTATAGCAAGCTGATGAAGAGGACGAAAGTAAAAATTTAAACAACGGAAAAAACATAGGCATTAATATTCATAGTGCTAGCAAAATTAACACTATCGTCAACAGCACCACTGAATATAGCGATGTTAATACTAATAATGGAAACACTGAAAAGTCCGGTCAAGATTTAACTAATATGGAAAATCAGATAGATATTAACAAAGTCAATGTAGGACAGGTATCACATACACATGCATTCTACGGTTTTGTGCCTGCAAACTTTACAAAAATTAGTATTTCAGTTAGAGAAAATGACAAGACATACATATGTTAACATTTTCAGTTGCTCAAATTACAAGATTCAATTTTGTATTTAGTCTTTTTAGTATAAAAATGCTGTTATACACATGTCTTTCTTTTATATTTATTAATTATTTATACATATTGCAAAATATCGTTAAGTAGCCCCATCCATTTATGTATAAAATAGGATTAGCAAATGTCTCCAGTGTAAGAATTTTTATTGAATTTGTAAGAATTATTTTATAAACAAGCTTTACTATTTTATTGTCATTTATGCATGAAGTTTGCAAGATTGTAAATTATTTGCTTGAATGCATGATAATTTAATAATAAGGATAATGTAATAATCAACGAACTAATTTGATAAAATATTATTACTACGAATAGTTTATTACTACGAATAGATATGAGAATAATAGAAAATAAATTAAATAGATTATTGTTTTTCTTTTATTCGATTTATGAAAAGATTTGTTTTTTAACATAAATATAGTTATATTTTATTTTAAGAAAACTATGTGCTTTGATACATGTATGTTATATAAAAGATAGCCTTCATAGATATATAAACATATATATATATATCCATATTTATTGATTTATTTATAATGTTTATAACAGGGTCTAAAGAAAAAGTATAAAACATTGACTTTTTTGTTTGTTTCAGGATGATTTGAACCATGCTAAATATTATAGTAGCAATTATCCAGTTATATTTAATATCTTTTTATGGTTTGGAGTGGTCTTTGTGTTCTCCCTTCTTGCTATTTGCAGTATGTACAATATATAAATAATAATAACAGTTATATGAACCGTTTATAAAGCCAAAGTAACTATAATTTCACTTTTACAATTGTTACAAATTTTATTATCTAAAAATTTGATCAATACTTAATTTTTTATATTTAAACTCAATTTCCTTAATAATTATTCCCTATAATTAAATAAGAACAATTTTTACGGCCATTCAATAATAAATAATGTAACAGTGTATATTAATTTTCATCAATAACTTTTTGCTTTTTATTTTGTGGCGTTAATCGATTTGGTAAATAAATGGTTCATATATTAAAATATATTTAATATTTACATATATACATACGTACTTTTTTAACAGTTGCAATCGCGGATATGGACCCAGGTCGTGACTCTATTATATACAGAATGACATCTAATCGTATGAAAAAGGATAATTAATCATGAATACATAAACAAGTAGGTATTTCTAAATAAAATACATTAAATGTTATTATAATAAAAATTGTTTTTCTTAGAAAGAAAATGTTTCAATCGAAATGCGAAAGATGTAAATAATAATAATAATAATAATAATATATGTATTTGTACATTTTCCAATGTATAGGATGAAACATTAAAAGGAAAATACACCTGAATGTTTTAGATTGTTGATTATTAAATGAGACTATTAAGAAGGAAGAATTCAGAGGAAATATTTTTTTTTTTGTTTAATTTCTATAATTATATTTTTTCAACAATTATATATCCGATAAGTATATACAAGCAACTAAATTACATTCAGGTGATTTTATTTAAGCGCTTCATCCTATGTACATATGTTAAGTATGAGTAATTCCAATATTACCAAAAGATAATAGATCACTTTATATAACAGTATTGTTTTTTAAGTTAAAATAATTCTTATAAATGGTTATAGAAATTGAATATAATAAACAATAATTGAAGTGTACATTAATCTTATTTTGAGGATACATAATGGTATATATGTATAAAGATAAATATATATATATTAAATTAAAGAACAAATATAAGTAACGTTTAAAAATTGTTAGTATTGATTTGATTAATTTGATAATATTAAATCCAATCCTATTTGAATAATTTTTTAATTTTTTATCATTTAAACAAAATTCTTTATAATTATAAATGAAATTATAGTAAATGTATATTATTCTTATAACAATTAATTTACTAAACATAATACTTAAATTGAAAAGTATAGTATATAAAGATATAGATATAGAATAGCTCAAAGAACATAAGCCATTTACAAACTATTCGATATCTAAAATAAAAACAACGAAAAAATAACTAATATGTATAAAAACCGATCAGACTATCAAATTTGTTCCTTATTGTCAAATATTTTAGGACCTATTTGTTAATAACACAATAATCATTTAAATCAACGAGAAATTTATTTACATCCAACTAATTGTAAAAGTAAAAGTAAAAGAAAAAGAAAGATGTAAAAAAAGGAGGGGTGGAGAGAGAGGTGGGGGAGGGGGGTAGGTAGGGTGGGAGGGAGGTAGAAGAAATTTCAGTAATAACCGACAAATGTAATTAGTAGTATTGCAATCGGAAGTATAAGTGTGTTGTGGTGGTGTTATGTCGAGTGATGATTGTTGTTCCTTGTTCCGTTTGTCGTGAGATGGCGAAAAGAGAGAAAGAGAAAGAAATGTAAAAAAGAAGGGTGGGGGTAGTGGTAAGAGGAAGGAGGAAGAAGGAAGGAGACAGAATCCGAACGTGGAGAGCCGGTCGAAGGCCCGCGCACTGGGGCCGCATGCGAGTTGCAGGTGGGTTCGAGGCTACCTTCGTTTTATCCCCACTCTTTTCCACTGTATACATGTTCTCTCTCCCTTCCCAATGGCTCCTGGACGTCTCTCTCTTCTGTAGATCGAACCGCTGACACACACCTGTCGCACATCAGAGCCGTCGCACGTAAGTTTCGCGCGCGCGCGTAAGTTTCGTGCACATTTCTTTTGATTTTAAATTTTATTAACGCGTTTTAAGTATACATAGGTATATTTATGTATATAAAATACAATATAATTAATAGTATATATATATATGTATATGTATGTATATAATATAAAGATATATATGTATATATATATATATATATATTTTCAATTTTATATAGATTCAATTTAACATGTCGTTATACAAACTTTAAAAAATAGAAAATAATGGAAGAAAAACAAGGAACGCGATGAATTTTGATCCTTAACGGTATTTCTAAGGATGTATATATATATATATATATATTTTTTTTTTTTCTTTTCGTGAATAATGAGAAAAAGATACGACAATTCTTAATTACTAGTGAGTATTGATAATATATTTTACGAGTATATTTGTTAAGTGTACAATTTTGTGAAGAAGAAAAGAAGAAATAAGAAGAAGAGGAAGCAGAAGAAGAAGAGGAAGAAGAGGAAGAAGAGGAAGAAGAGAAAGAAGAGGAAGTAGAAAAAGGTGCGCGCGCTTACGAGCGCGAGAATATCGAAAGACCTCGACTCCGGTACGGAAAGTGATACAAAAAAGCAAGTTCACCGAGATACTGTGCCGAAGGTGACTAAGGGAAGTGTTCTTGAAACGAAACTAACCTCTTTCCCTGTCTATATATACACATATACATACACATATACATAAAACATCAAATAATATAATATACACACACGCACATGTATATTTATCACCGTCTCTCTCTCTTCCTCTCTCTTTCTTTTCGGTCCAGCAATGAAAGGATATTTTAAATTCGATAAAAAGATAATCGAGAAATTATTCTCTTTGTGTATAATCGATCTCGTGGTTTGACCGGATATTCACAATACAACCCGGTCAATAAGAAAATTGACAAAAATCATGCCTTTGCCCTTACCACGTAACGCTAATTCGTCGACGAGAAAACGTTCGCGACGTAGAAGTTTGTCTGCGAGGCGTCTAAGCTTCGCGGAAGATCGTGAAGAAGGATAATAAAAAAAAAAAAGAAACAATTTTTAATCATTCTCATTTAATAATAATAACAACTGTATTAAAACACAATTAAAACAGAATTAATATAGTGTCGTTTGAGGGAAATACAAAATTTTCCTATTCAATCGTTAAGTAGAATCAAAACAGTGTGGAACCAAAGTTATTTTGATCAAACGAAGCTGCTGTTTTTTTTTCTCTTTTTATATATATATATATATATAGTACACATATCGTGTTTGGTCGAGTGTTAATTTTTTAGAGGAGAACAAGAAGAAGAGGAAGAAGAGTAAGAAGAGGAAGAAGAAGAAGAAGAAGAAGAAGAGGTGTGTGGAGGTTAGCGGCTCACAAGACTGAATAACCGTGGACCGAACCGGTCGGCGGTTCCGTTCGGTCCTGTTCAGTCGTTTCGTCAACTACGACGAAGAAGGTAAAGGAGAGGGAGAAGGAAAAGATAAAGAAGGACGATGAGCGTTAGAATCGTCGTAAGCGTGACGGAAATCGCGGAAATGAACCCCAAGGATCGTTACGTCGTTGAAGGGATCGGTGAGTTTGTTTACTACTCGGCTATTAGGTAAAACTTGCTTTCCGCTTCTAATCTCCCTCTACTCTCTTTCTTTCTCTCTCTTTCTCTCTCTTTCTCTCTCTCTCTCTCTTTCTCTGTCTGTCTCATTCTCTGTTTGTCTGTCTATCTGTCTACCTGTCCGTCTTTCTCATCCGTAGCCCTCTTTCGTTTCTTCTCTCCCTCCCTTTCTCCCTTCCTCTCTATCTTCTTCCGTCCTATTTCTTTTTCCTAATGAGGCTCTAGCTTCGAACGAGTTTGAGAAGCCGATCGGCTTCTTCGTCGTATTTACTCCAATACGAAACATCAGAGTTAAGAGTTGAAACGAGAATTCCGCGGGTACTTTTTAAGAGTCGTTTGAACGCGCAACATTCGAAATAGTCCTTGCGCGTATTTGAAAGCGCGAAATCATTTTTCTTATGAATCATTCGTGTCTTAAATTCTTGTCAATTGTATTATTAACTATATATATATATACTATGTTTCTCTATGTTCAGTCAAAAGTTACTATCTAACATATTTATACTAATCTGAGTTATTACCTGTCGAACCTGATTTTAAATTGGGAAAAGTATTATATACTGTTCCTTTTTTTTATTTATTTCTATAATTTTTTAATGCACTACTATTGATGTGTGTGTGTGTTTTTTTTATGTAGTAATGGCTAATAAATTCAACAAAAGTTATTTTAAAATGTAATTTTGTAATTTTCTTATGAAAGAATATAAAAATGTAGTTAATGATTTTTGATCGTGCATAGACGCTATATTATATAATTTAATATTTATGATTTTTTTTTTGTCTAATTTTTTAAATCACTTACATAATGTATATATATATATATATATATATTATTCGCATGGGTGTGTCATATTTGATATAAATACTTTTGACAATTAACTCTCAATATTATATTTTTTAAATATGAGCGCAAAAAATGATCGGATGAATATCGATGATAATTTATGAATTGGTTTTATTTTGAATGTTCATTTGAGTATTAACATTTTTATGTTAATATATAATATATATTTATACATATTCGTATTTATATATACTAATGTAAATATACATCATTTTTAAGTTTAGACGATGTTGGAAATTTATGAATATTTACACAACCGAGTTTTACAAATATTAACTCACTGTCGAATGTGATACGTTAAATTATCGCTGCCATTAACTTTTAAAATATTTCCGACAGAAATATTATTATGAAACTCTTGTAAGATAGGAATTTATACGGTCTTCAAGTAAAATATAAGATTAATAGAAATTTGTTTTCTTCATTTTATATTTATCGTGACAATACATCTTTTTACGATAATATGATCAATCTTTTTTTTTTTTCTTTTTTCTTTTTTTTTTTTGGCTAACAGCTGTAATTAAATTTAAGCCTTGAATAAATTTTCGTTATCAAAGAAAGTTTTTCTGTGAAAACACAATAAAAAGGAAAAAAAGAAAAAAAAAAAAAATTCACACAAACTCGTCAATTAATGAATTTTCAAACGAACTTCTCTTCTTTTATAAGCAATCCCTTAAGAAGGATGCGACCTTTCGCATTTCGCATTTCACATTTATCTACCTTTTTTCTTTTTTTTTTTTTTTCTACCTCGATCGATGAATAATGTTAACACATAACGACGGGGATGGAAAATATTTTTCTCAAGCTAGTCGCCTACTCTTTTTTATTTTCACCTTTGGTTGGTTGGTAGGGTTAAACTTAAACAGATATTACTATATAATAATTATAATTATAATTATTTTTACAAAGTGAAACACTCGAATAATTCTTTTATCCGATATAATTGGACCTTGGTTAAACAACATAAAAATCTCTTTTTGTTCTTTATTTTTATTATATATATATATATATATATATTATTTTGATTTTTAGTTTCTTTGCAAAATAGGCCATGCTTGAATTCGCATCGTCGGTATTGAAATAACTGTATTTCTTTCCGAATCGCGATAGAGACAGACAAAGGTAACAATGATGAATTTTTCATGATCAGCTTATATTCTACGTCTTAACGGTGTTGAAACACGTGTTGATGATTTAAGTATGGTAAACATCGTTCTTTGGATAGGCGCTTGTCTAGTCTCCGGTGTTTGTCAAATTATCCTTGGTTGGATCCATTTACATTGAGTCTTGGATTCTTTTGATTAGATCATTAGAATAAAAACATTGAATGAGAAAAGACAATAAATAGGGATGAATATATAACAAACATTATTTATCGATTAGTTAGATAAATATATTCATACAAAGATGATGAACAATATGAGAACAATTGTCTAAATATGTTCTTCGTAAACGTGTTAATAGTTTTATTTCATCATTCATCTAATCATAAATATTAAATACATATTATATATGTATATATGAATTAGATTGATAAGTTAAACATTTTTGTTTATATATTAATTATATAATTTATAGAAAAAAAAAAAACACAATAATTGGACAATCTATAAAATGTAATTATTGAATCATTAAATATGAAAATAAATTGTAAATAAAAGAAAAATAACAAGTACGAATGATGCAAAACAAGAATACATTTATTTATTTAATAAGAGATACGTGTTCGACGCGATATAGTAATTCGTATATAAAATAAGAATAAAATAAAATAAAATAAAATAAAAAAACAAAATGAAAACCAGAAAAAAAAAGCAAAGACTAGGAAATAGTAAATAATCTGGCACGATGATCCGATCGATTAAGTGCTATGTTATACGCCTCTTGGGATCTTGTTTTCTTTTCTTCTTCTTCTACTTCTTCTACTTCTTCTTCTTCTTCTTCTTCTTCTTCTTCTTCTTCTTATTCTTCATATTATATCACCAGGGAGACCGTGAATCACACCTTATCACCGTGCTCATTAAAACCAAAGAACGATTTCTCACTCCTGTCACACTCTTCTTTGCTTATTTGTTGCGCATCCTCTTTGTATATCAGTAGTAGTAAGTTGTTATACAATACTAGAAACAGCCATCTTATATGTTATACATTATAGAAACGTATAATGAGTTTCGTTGAAATGATCATAATTTTCCTTCTCGTTATTTTTGAACTACGATGAAAAAATAATTACTATTTTTTCTCTCTCTTTTTTTTTTCTTTTTTTTTTTTTTTTTTTTTTTTTACTCAATGTTTATCTTAAACTCGAATTTATTTTATTCTTATTCAACTTATTTTCTCGATTTATTATCATTTATTATTCATT